ACGTGATCAAATTCGTTTTTTCTTTCAAGTAATGTTCAAAACTAATGTAACAATTATTTTATTATATCATTTTATTGTTATTAGTATGTAACACTCTGTAATGGCGAAGAATCAAACAAGATTCTGGATCGAAATAAATGGGATTTACGGGTAAGTGATTTATCAACTTTGTACATTTACATCACATGAGTGGATTTGTCGATGTGTCTGCCAATATATCTGAACAAGCAATCAACCGATATTAACGACATGCTATATTGAGTGAAACAGCGAAATAATATTTGTTCTTCACTTGTCAATTAATTTGCATGTCTAAAGGCTAACCAGATGTATCATTTTCACTGCAGACGATGACTCTCAGTACACTTTTTAACGGCTTTTTTATACTGAGCATGCTACTCCATTACAGAGACTGACAAAATGACAAAAGAATTATCTCTCTAGAAATTTCAGAGCAGCTCATTCACATCATATCTGAAAATTTTCATTCCTGTCCCATTCTGTGCAATGCCAAAAAAGCTTTAGCCTCGGTTCCTGTAATCCACCAAATCTCACCAATAGTTTTTGTCATAATATTCATCGTTGCATAGAAATACTCCATTACTTCACGTATGAAGAATTTTTACTATAGCAAAAGTAGTTTGAAGAATCAACAATACTCAGATGCCGGTGTGCAGGACTTCAGGGAACTTATACAAAATCGAATTGCAGAAAAAATATATCGAATCCCAACTTAGTGAGATGTATTATTGCTAGCCCAAAACTAATTACTCTCCAATGTATAGAATCTAAAAATTTCTCAGCATTCATTGCTAGCACAGTCTTCGTGGCTGAGAACCACTTCCATAAACTTCATGTACTACTCCGTGATCCGCACTCCAAATAGGAGCACCCCCTCCTCCCTTCACCAAATCTAATTAATCAATCTTTTTTAATTTCAGTGTTTTTTTCTCGTTAATATAGTCTCAAAGTGTCCTATGTCGAATGCCATACGAACTAGAGACCTTCATTCTTACTTAGTAGTTTTATGGAAACGGATTTTAGAAAACCCTAATAGTGAAACCTCACTGTGGTTTATTAATAATATATCTAAGTGTAATTCCACGTTTCAAATAAGTGAAAAGAAACCTCCATGGATCCTCTCAATCCACTAAACATGATCTAATTTTGACCGAACTCATTTAAGGAATAAAAAATATGGTATATTCACCGTGTTGTACTTTAAAAAGTTTTGTATTTTTCTCGAAAGAAAATTGCAGAATCGCTCCTGTTTCTCCAGCGCACTATGCTGGATCGAGATGAAACCTTTTTTTTTTTTTACATATGCTAGATACCTTGAGTGTGTCGCTTTCTTCTTTTAGAGAAACATTGTTTTGCTGAATTTTAGCAGATATTTGCTCCGATCAGCAAAAAAATGTTTCTTAGGATACACGCTGAACTTTAGCTTTTATATTTGAAGGAAATAAGATGAAAAGAAATAGACAAGAGGCATACACCAAGCAGTGTCTAGATTCCTGTAAAAGATGTTTCAGCTCGATCGGACATAGTATTTCAGAGAAACTAAGACAAAAGGTGAGGTCATTTTTAGCTCTTGCGATTAGTATATTTTATAGCAGAGAGCATCGCGCCAAGTCGAGTCTTGCACAAGTTTCACTCTATTTCCCACAGTCTATGTGAGCTAAAAGTTTCAGAATTTGCCACAGAGTCATTCTCGGGAAATTTCAGAAATATAAGGGACGGGAGAGTGCAGCGGTATCCTTAACGTGAATCTATCGCTCCGATGATTCATTTTCCGATTTGTTTGCTATGAAAGTAACATCGTATGTCATGGCATTTTCGCCTCCTCTTTATTGTCCATTCGAAGCAAAATAGTTTGTTACTTGGAAGAGAAGCATTCCAAGTATTTCATGGTTCCTTCTCGTCGATGAAAAATGACGAGATCCACCAATGATCCATATTGTCGGACGTTCCGTCAGTCTCTGCTCCATGACTGTATCTTTGTATTGAATTCATGCAATATACGGATAAACACTTATGAGTATAATTTCAAAGAAATATAATCTTTTCTTTTTTTCAGCAAGCCATCGCGGACTATTTTAACGACAACGGTATGTCTCTCGAATATTTCTCTCACATTTCATCAAAAGACTTATTTAGATTCAGAATTAATTAACAGTGCAAAATCCAAGCCAGTGCTGACTAGCCTTATTATAAATCAAGAAAAAGATCAATATCTTGCAAAATACATTCAAGAATTGCAGCACCAATCAAATGGAGATATGGCAGTCTTAGAACAGGTAGATATCTAACTACATTGACAGAAAATATCAACTCTGTGGCATTTTGAAAATTTTTAGAAAATTGCTAGTACCAGAATTATGGGTGTGCACAAACGAATTGGATTTGCTGCTCACGATGGAAAGAAACAAGAACTGATCGAGTGCCTTAAAAAACATAAGAATATACTTCTTAAACACAAACTCTATGGTACGGGTACAACAGGATTGCTGATCGAAAAAGAACTGAATGTGCTTGTAACACGGTTTCAAAGTGGTTCCATGGGTGGCGATCAACAATTAGGAGCAAAGATTGCTACAGACGAGCTTGACATTCTCATCTTTCTCATTGATCCATTGAGTCCTCAAGCCCATGATGCCGACGTCAAAGCACTTCTTCGATTAGCTGAAGTGTATAACATACCTTGTGCAACGACTGCTACTGCCGCTGACTTTATACTCACTTCGGGAATGATGGAGGAACTTTGTATACGACAGGTGTCGTTAACCGGATACCCGAAAGCGTAAAGAGTAACTTAAAGTGAGCAGCAATATATTTTTTCATTTATAAAGCGTTTTATTTGAGTGGATAGACCTAATCGATTCTGATCACGTAGCCATAACTCAATCATCAGCCTCATCACTTAATGCGAATGCATTCATATATTTATATATTACATTTTTCTTAGTGTTTTTTGTGTTCTGTATTTGTCTTTATCATAATTGTTCATTTTATGCATGTTCTTTTTAATCATGGGTAATAGGATTTTCTAAAAATACGAAACAAGAGAATTTCATTGAGCTTTTCTGATATCACTTTCACCAGGTTAAAGGAGAATGGCTGTAAGATAATGGAAACCTAAGTCAACCGTTCCCATGATTGGAATAGGTAGGTTTCTTGAAAGAAAATGAAGGAATTAGCCGGTTCTGCATTGAAAATAAAAGAAATTCCGCTGACATCCGATGAGTTCCTTGTCACTGAATTGTGGTCGCATTTTCTAGAAACTTTCTTACTACCTACAATTCAATTCATATGAAATCTGATTGCCATTCAATTAAGATGTATATATATCAGAATATGCTGCACTACTGTTGTATATCTATCATCGTTCTGCTTATTCATGATGAATATAATGACGAACGAATAATTGCGATTGTGAACAAATAATATAATCAGGCAAATATCTTTTAGAAGTAATAGTGAAAATGCATTCTACGACTTGATATTGATCGAGAGTAATAATTGTATCATTTCATTAAGCAACAATCCGTTAATAAATCTAGCGGTGAGTATATTTGGAATAATCAATGCAACAGATTCTGTAGATAAATCATGAATAGTAATATTAATATTACCACCTCAGTCAATCATGTAAAGATATTGTGATGTTGTCAGATGTAAAGAAAGCTGATTAGACAAGAAACGATCACCTATTTGAATTAGTTGAGGTTTTGATCGAGTGTCAAGTTTCTTTTACATAGATATTAAAAGTATATTTATTGAAATATTCTACAATCAATCATACATTGTGTGCTACAAATTTAATATTTATAATTTCAATACATACAGTGTCTTTTATCAATTTCCTGAAAAACTCCTCCGAGATCTGACATATCTGATTCATATTCGTATATAAGAAGCATAACAGATACAGATTTTTTCATTTTTCTAATTTCTCTATTCTTCGACGATGATCATATATATCAGAACTTAAATGAACTTCAAGATCCATACAAAACTATACTCTATTCATCAGTACAATTTAGTCATTTTGTATTTTCATATTTCTGATTCTTCTAGCTGACACACTTATAATATATTCAATTAGTCGAAATATTATATACAATGATTGTATAATTGAAATTGCGAGTATCGTTCATTTAATCTTTTAGTACAATTATAATTATGATCCTAGAACATGATGAGGTAATTTGCTAAAAATGATTGTTAATGTCTTTCAATGAAGCATAGGCAAGACAAATATGATATGAATTCATATAGTCAAGTTCAGTTAAAATTATAGAAAAACCCCTTTTTCAAATATTTACAACAACATTCGATTATAATCGTAATAAAGATATGTGGAAAATGTTTTTTCTTTTTCTTTTGAGATAAAATCAATACAAAAAAATAA